TTTTGTATGTCAAATTAAAACCATTAAAGGGAGATGTTTTATAGTTATGTTGACATGAAGTACAGCTTTCTCATTCAATAAAATGAGACTGTCTTCTTTAAACTTGGCAATCTTGCTTTAGTGAATTGGACTTAGTGAAAAAGGCTTTGACAGAAATGAGAGACACAGAAAGGGATATCTTCTGCACCCTACATGTCAAATATGACATTGCTCACTCTGGCTCTCAGATCCTAGCCGGTAGAAAGTGCTCTGCGAGAACGAGGGAGCTGATGAAAAGAGTTGTTTTTTAACTCCTCGGATGAGAGCGCAGGCTTGTCAGCAGAGAAGTCTGAGCTACAGTCTGGATATAGCAGTTTGAATAATGTATGCAGGGACAGTGAACGTAGACTGCTCTTTGAAGACCTTGCATAAGGAAAGAAAGGAGATGGTTGCCTTCACACACATGCAGGGGGAGGAGAGTGGGGCTCCACTTCTCAGGCTGGGTAGACTTGAGCAGCTTGCTAAGGAGCCAGCAGAGAGGGAGAGAAAGACAGGACCCTGGTTGAGAAACTTTCTTCCACCTAGAAAGGTGGGAACGACAGGGAAGCCCTGCAGATGAACTAAAAGAAGAAGGCCAAGCAATTCCTGTTTCAGCTGTCTTTTTTCCCTCTCTCTAGTTGGTGCTAAGGGCTATGGTTTTCTGTATAAAATGTGGATTGTAAGGCTAAGGCTTGAGCACTTTGGGGAGGAGCGTAACAGGAACATGGAAAACAGAGCTAATTAGGAATGGATAAAGATTATTAAAGCATTAATTCACAGAAGTTAGAAATAATCTATCAACCAGGAGGCCTTGAGGACGATGATCCCAATTAGAGCAGTCAGTCCACAGAGAGGACCACATGGCCAGCCCCACTATGAGAAATAATATATCAGTAATGGTGTGGAACCCTCCCCCCCTCATACACACCCCCACCCCCACCCCCACACCCCGTTGTTCCAGACAATGGGGATGGAGATGGAGAAAGTAAACAGTTCACTTGGCCTTCGGTTGGTGAGAGAGACTGTAGTGATTCAGAAAATAACTGATGCTTATTAAAGTCGGCTCAGAATGATTGACCATGTGGTTCTGCTGGTTACAAGGTGTGTATATAAAGTCATCACGAAGTCACTATAGGGTGGAAAGGTGGCAAGGGATGGGAATGCAGTAGGTAACAGAGACCCCAAACACAAACTTCAACCAGACACCAAAAACAGATTGTGTAGGGATGGAAGAAGTGAAATAATTGATGGTAGTGGTAAGAGGATTTTAGAGTTCAATATTTGAGCTGTAGTAACAGTTTAAAGTAACGACACCACCAAGAGTATGTGCAGGGAGCCCTGGCTGTGTTCAGGTAAGCCTTGGCCTGCTAACCAGAAGGGCTGTGGTTCAAAACCACCAGCTCCTCCAGTGACATGAGACTGTATAGCCTTGGAAACCCTGTACAGGGTCTCTGAATTGAAGTGTCTCGAAGACAGTGGGCTTTGGGGTTTAGCGTATATACAATGAGTGAGTGAGTTTCTTAAAATAGAGGTCAGGTAACCAGCTCTGGTGTTGAATACTGAGGTGAAAACAGGCTTCTTGCCTGGAGAGGAAAATGCAACTAGCTGCATCCTTAGAAAGAATTCAGGTTCTTGCAGAAAAGGTTTACTATTTAGCATAGCAGACCTGAGACTAGAAAGGGTTGAGAGCAACGCTGGTCCTTGGCCATGGTCTGGAAACTTTGGAGAGGGTTCCCAGCATTCTTAGAATTGTTAATACTGGCTCACTGTGCCCAACTGTTTGTATACGAGGGGGTCCCTGCAACCCCACCCCTCACCCCCGACCCAAATGGATAAAAAAAAACTCCACTGAGTGGAGCTTTCGTGGTACACATTTTTCCCCTCTAGGCAAGCATGGAGCAACTCTGAGTTAGTGCACCCTGCGGGTCACCTGGGAAGGTTCTCTCTGGTCACAGTGAATTTTTTTGTAAAAGCAATTGTGCTCAAACCTAATTTTTTGTGATGGCCAATTTAAGAGAGCAGCATGCGGCTGTGAAATTTTGTTTCCTGCTCAGGAAAAATGCTGCAGAAACTGTTGTGATGGGACAGCACTATGGGAAAAACATGTATGAGTGCTTTTCTCATTTCAAAGAAGTGAAATGTTGATTGATGACAAACCCTGTTCTGGACATCTGTCAGCTTCTGAATGGACGAAAATGTTGACAAAATTCATACACTTGTGCTTGAAGACCGACTGCTGGGTCATTGAAGAGATGGGGAAGTTAACTGGACTATCTTGGAGCTCGGTTCAGGGAATTTTTTTTTTTTTTAGTTAAAAGATCATTTTATTGGAGACTCTTACAACTTATAACAATCCATACCTCAGTTGTACCAGGCATATTTGTACATATGTTGCCATCATTCTTTTCTAGGCATTTACTTTCTGTTGAGCCCTTGGTATCAGCTCCTTTGGTTCAGCGGATTTTAAGGGAAGATTTGGGAATGAAGAAGTAGCTCTGTGAAATGTGTGCCTCGGGTTCTGACTGACCGGGAAAAAGAGCAGGGACTGGAAACCTGCCCTGCTGTGAAAGAACAGCACTGAACTGACCCGGGCTTTTTTTAAGATCATGACTGGTGACAAGACATGGTGCTATTCTTAACAACCCCGAAAGCAAACATCCGTCAAGTCCATGGAAGACGCCATTATCACTTCACCCCTAAAAAGCTTTTCAAGTGAAATCAAAGATCAAGTTTTCTTTTTAAAAATGTGAGAGGGATAGTGCATTTAGAGTTTGTTCCACCAGGTCAAACTGTTGATCAAACTTTCTATTTGAGATCCAAAGCCCATTAGCAGGCCACTGGAGATCCCCTTGCAGAGGGGTCTCGGGGAGGAGA